GCGGGAAGGCCCCGGGCTCAGCCCTGCCAGGGCAGGAGGGTGCGTGGCCGGGCCGGCAGCGCCGCCGGGGGGGAGCTGTGCCGCTGGGGCCCTGACAGGGTCTGTGTTCCCAGGGATCGCCGCCAAGTACCTGAGAAAGGGGCAGGAGGAGGACGAGCTCATCACAGAGGTCATCACTGACAGTGAGTGTGGGCAGTGGGCTGTCAGCAGGGGCTGGCAGGAGGACCACAGAGCCTGGGCAGGGAGTTGCAATCCTGCCCCAACTGTGCCGGGCTCTGCTCCCTGCATGGACAGAGCAGAGAGAGATTCCAGGGGCACGGGGGGATTGGTGGCCAGCACCTTCTGGCTGATCCTGTTGGCCCTGCTCCCTCCTGGCCACAGTAAGAGCTGGGTGGGATGGCTCTGCCAGGAGGGGCTCCTCGGGTCCCTGCAGATGCTGGCTCTGATCTTGGCTCTGTTCTTTTCTCTTCCAGCCATTCAAGGCATGACTGCTGACAGCCCTGCCATCTCAAAGCGGGCAGCTGAAACCTTGAAAATCATCAAGGATGTCCACAAATCTAAACCTAAACCAACACCGAAATCTAAATCCACCAGGTTCCGGTAGCCTCCATTCCTCTCTGTTCCAGCCCTGAGAGGAATGACTGATGACCTCAGACTCGCCATTGCAGGCCTGGCCATTCCAAACTGTACATGCTAAGGGCTGTACAAACAGCTCCCTGCTCCAGACTCCAGCAGCTCCAAGAGGAAAATGCCTCTGAAGAGGAAAATGCCTCTTTTCTGCAAGGATGGCCTTTTACACCAGCGTGGGAATATCAAATATATCTATACATCTTATGAAACACAGAGGCCCAGCAAGTTTTTTCATGCCTGGTGTCCACAAAGGGGAAGAGGGGAAAAAGGGCCCTTGTGCTCAGCAACACTTGCCCAGGTGTGCAGCGGGGAAGGGAAAGTGCCCAAAAGGCCCTTGGCCTTGGGGGGTTCTGTTGGAGCCTCAACACTTCCAGCAGAGCGGGTGGGCAGAGCCTGGAGCTGTGGGGCTCCCTGAGAAGCTGGTCCTGGGAGGTGGCCACAGGCCCTGTGCCAGCCGGGAAGCAGCATCTGTGGCCTGCCCGTGTGTTGCTGTCTGGCTTGCTGAGGGCTGGGAGGTGCCTCCTGAGCCAGCTCCCGTGGAGCTCCTTCAGGGCTGCGCCGCTGCCGGGCCGGTTGTGGGGTCTGGGGGAGAGCCTGAGGGGACGGGGCGCTGGGAGATAATAAAGGGCTGAGGGGCTGCAGAGGACCTGCTGGGACAAGGGGAAGCCCTGAGGGGAAATCGTGAGGGGATGGAAGGCAGGAGCAGCAATTTCAGCGCAGGGCTCTGAAAAGCAAACAACAGCCCTTTCCCCCAGGAAAGAAACCCTAAAACCTTTGGGTTTCAGGTGCAGTTGGTGGGCCAGCCTGGGCACTCCATGGGCAGCAAGAGCTTTCTGTCCTGGCATCTTTAGCGTGGGAGGAATCTTCATCCATATGGAATTCTGGCAATTGGACAGCCTAACCCTGACCAAATCCGTAACCCTATCCCTAACCCTAACCCTAAACCAAACCATTACCCAAACCCTAAACTCTAAACCTAACCCTAACTAACCCTAAAACAAACTGTAACTCTAAACATAACCCTGTCCCTAACTCTAACCCTGACCATAATCGTAACTAACTCTAAACCTCACCCTAAACTTAACCCTAATTCAAAATCCTAACCCTAATCCTAACCCTAACCCTAACGACTGCCCTTCCACCCAGGAAAGAAAGCCCTGACCCTCCATCTCTCGAGTGCAGTTGGTGTGCCACTCTCAGCACTCCGTGGGCAGCAGGAGCTTTCGGTGGTGGCCCCTTTTGTCTGGCAGGAATCTTCATCTGTATGGAATACTGAGAGTCAGGCTGGCAGTTTGAGCGCAGGGCTGAAAAAAGCAAACAAGAGCCCTTATCCCCAGCAAAGAAAGCCTGGAACCTTCAGCTTTCAGGTGCAGTTGGTGGGCCAACTTGGGCACTTGGTGGGCAGCAAGAGCTTTCTGGTGTGGCACCTTTTGTCTGGGAGCAATCTTCTTCCATCTGGAATTTTGGGAGTTGGGCTGACAGGTGCAGTGCAGGGCTGAAAAAAGCAAACAACAGCCCTTATCCCCAGCAAAGAAAGCCTGCAACCTTTGGCTTTCTGGTGCAGTTGTTTGGCCAGCATGGGCACTCTGTGGGCAGCAAGAGCTTTCTGTCCTGACACCTTTTATCTGGGAGCAATCTTCGTCCATGTGGAATTTTGGGAGTCGGGCTGGCAGTTTCAGCACAGGGCTGAAAAAAGCGAACAACAGCCCTTATAAATTTGATTTTAGCTGAAATGCAGATCAGGTCTCGTGTTTCTGACCTGCCCAGCTGGGAGCCCTCAGCACCAGTGAGCAAAGCAACCTCCACATCCCTGAGCCATGTGGCAACAGGACCTCTTGTGGCTGTGTTGAGTGAAAGCCTCGGCCATCCCCACAGCAGCAGGTTGGTGCCTGATCCCAGGTGACAGTCCAGGGCAGCCTCCAGAGACAGCCACTCCCCCACAGCTCAGTCCAGCACGGAAGGAAAGGAGACTTGGAGAGGAGTCACGCTTCAGGTGTGCAGCTTCTGTTCTATGAGTCACCGAGGGCCCTTTAATAATGATGGAATTGTTTTTTCTGTCATGTTTAGAATGATTTGAGAGCCACGACAAGGGGCTGAAAAGCAGCTGAAAAGGTTTATTTATTTATTTTTAATGGTGCTGAAAAACACCTCCAGCTGTTCAGCTTAACCCAGTGTAGTAGGTCCCTGCTCTTCAGCCTCTGTCTCATGGGATTTTAATGCCCTTCAGAGGGCAGGCACCTTGTTGGATGTGCTAATTAATAACTGTAGAATCACACCAGAGGTTTTGAACTTTAACACATCTCCAAGTTGCTGTTTTGTTTTAGTTGGAAGGGTTTTAGAGCCTCCCAAACACGGGCGGGATGCAGCTGAGGTGGCACAGACTGCACAGCACGGACTAAGTGCTGGAGATAGGCTTTATCAGTGAGATCCATATGTTCAGAGGGAAAATCTGCCAGCTTACACTGTCCATAAGGTACTGTAGGGAAAAAAAGAGTGAGGCAGTTTTCATGAAAATGAAAAGTTTGGTTTTGCGGCATAAGTGCCAAGGAGGCAGAAAATATAAGTTCAGTGGGTATGTTCCACTTAGGAATGTACAGTCTGGGGCAGATGGGGCAGGGGAGGCAGGGCCTGAATCACTTGAGAAACAGCAGTGACCCTCTGTAGGAATATCTGGAAGGAAAAGGCCTCTGAAGAAAGTCTCTGAGGAACAGAGTGAAGATAAATGTGCCTGGACACTTCTCTACATTGTCCAAGAAGGAGGAAGTTTTCAAGACCATGTGAGTTCCTTTCTTACTGTCTCACTTTTGCAGCAGATTTCTTGCCTTGTTCTCCTTACCCCAAACTGTACTTCCACTCAGCTTTTTCATGTCAAGGAGCACCAGCTGTGTATTTCTTTAAAAAGTCGCTCTGGGAGAATTCCAGATGTACATTCTGTTTGTCTGGAAAATCAAGAGGCTATGGGCTGCTAGAAACGGGACTGAGAATTTTTTCCTATTGCTGATGGTGAACACAACACTTACTCTTTTTAATGGCTTTGGCTCCACTGAGTAAAGCAAAACCTAATGGGCTGTTCAGATGGGTTTCACTTTTGAGAAGTTCAGGTCACAGAAAGCTCCATGGGCCAAAGAAAGGTGTGGGGCAACCCAGGCTGTTTCACCACTGGCCCACCTGCCTTGGGTTACAAGTGTCTGTGCAAGTAGTTCATGTGCAGTGTTAAAGGCAGACCCAGCAGGGTGTTCTCACACCACTCAACGTTTGCTGTTAGAAAACTCTTCTGTTAACAAAAGAGGGCAATAAAAGTCTCTCCTGTCAACTTTAACCTGAAATGAAAACACAGCAGCGCCCGAGTGTGACAAAAATGGCAATGCTGCCTGCCAGTTTGGGGGATGACCTTCAATGCCTTTGGGGACAGGCTCTTCCTGACCAAACCTGCACTGGCAGCCTGCAATGCCTCAGCTCCGAGCAATTTTTGTAATTAAAATTAATTAAAGTGCTTACAACCTGCTGTGATCTGAAGTGCCTGTCTGTCTCCCTCCCTTTGTTGCTGTTGTTACTGCTCACATGCGAGGGGATGCCTGGTCTTTAACAAACTGCAGGATCTGCAGGAGCTTTGGAAGCCCGTGGCAGAGCAATGTTAATTTGGGAGACACAGCTGAATTTTCGAAAGGAAAGTAAGTGACTGACCTGTCCTAGTTAGTGCTTTTGCTGACACTGGAGCTTCTCAGAAAACATGCTGAAAATCAGAGGGCTGAGTTTTGGGAGGTTGCTGATGGCTGTGCAGGACTCGGTTCATTGTATATCACTGAATCAGCTTCATGCCTTTGTTTGGAGTGGTGATTATCAGGGTGGCACCTTCTTTGCTCCCTAAAAGGATATGAAATGGACAATACACTGAAGGGGAAGCAGCTGACAAGGTATAACCTACCTGCAAGGTGTTATTTACCTGCAAGTGGCACATAAACACCCTCCTGAGGCTGTGAGGGATGTCACGGTTCCTTCTCCTTCTGTCACCACTTCTGCAAAATGTAGCCTGGCAGAGACACACTGAGTGATAAAACTTATCACTCCAGAGGGCACTGACAGGAGCCTTCCAGCTCTGGGGCTTTCAGTTCCACCAGATAACAGGACTTTGGGGGAATCTTTTGGGCTCCAGGAGGGCGACTGAACAGTCCCCACAGGGCTTGGGCTGTTCTTGACTCTGCACCCACATATCAGGGAACTCCTGTGAAAAGAATTAGATTCTCTCCCACTCCCTAGTGCAAGAATCAGGGAAAATCCCTCCTCTGAGGCTGTGGTAAACAACTTCTCCTCATGAAAAAAGTTGTGTTATGTGGGACCTTCCAGAGCAGGTAGTCTGAGATCTCTGCTCCTGTCTCCTGCTTGAGCATCCAGTGAGCTCAGTGAGGCTCTCCTGGCAAGCTGAGAGAACACATGGCCCCAAATGACTGTAAATCAATCTGATTCCAGTTCCCTCCACTGCTCTTGAGCAACACAGGTGGTACTGACTCGAGTAAATACACCTCACGTGGCAACACCACACATCATGCTGCGATTACACCTGTGCCAAGGCCTCAGAGGGGGTTCTAAGGGGTGCTTCCCCCATTGAATCTCAGCACCTGAATTTAAGGCTGACAAAGCAGTTGACAAAATTAACCAAATCCAAAAGTTGTTAGGCAGTTTAACTAAGCTGTTGGAGGGTAAATAATATTAAGAGGTAGCTGAAATCTTCTTTCTCTTGGCCTTGGTTACTACCAGTGTCTTTCTCAGCCTGCTTTGAAACTAATTAAACCTACCCAGTATAGGTTGGGTGCAGTAATTAAGGGAAAAAAATCATCTGCTTGTGAACCAAAATGTGCAAATTGCTCAGTTTAAAGCAAAAAAAAAAAAAAAAAGGGAAAAAAAAGATTAGGAGCAATTAGGAGTGTCATGCTGGGTCTGCTCATTTTGTTCCAGGGAGTGTTAGAGCACCTGCTC